TATATGTATATATAAATATATCATATTTACATTGTGTGTCAGCGTGTGTGTGTTTGTGTGTATGTATCTTTGTGCACGTGTCTTTATGCGTGTGTATGTGTGTGTGTGTGTGTGTGTGTGTGTGTGTGTGTCTGTTGGTCTCTGTTTGTGTATGTCTGTGCGTGTGGCTTTATGTGCGTGTGAGTATGTGTGTGTGTGTGTGTGTGTGTGTGTGTGTGTGTGTGTGTGTGTGTGTTTGAGTGTGCGTCTGTATGTGTGCGTGTGTCTTTATGCGCGGGTATCTGTGTTTGTGCTTCGTGTGTATGTGTGTGTGTGTGTGTGTGTTTGTGTGTATGTGTGTGCGTGCGTGTATGTGCGTGTGTGCATGTGTGCGTGTCTTTGTTTGTGTGTCTGAATATATTGTATTTAGTTGTCTTGTTTCAGCCCGGCAAATCAAGCATTGACCAGGTGTGCAACGTCATGACAGACTCCCGGAGGGGCTCGTACGTAGACAGATTAGCAGCGGTAAGTCAGGGCACTCTGTGTCTTCTCTCTCTCTCTCTCTCTCTCTCTCTCTCTCTCTCTCTCTCTCTCTCTCTCTCTCTCTCTCTCTCTCTTTCTCTCTCTCTCTCTCTCTCTCTATCTATCTATCTATCTATCTATCTATCTATCTATCTATCTCTCTCGGTCTCTCTTTCTCTCTCTAGCTCTTTTTCTCTCTCCCTGTGTCTCTATCTATCTATCTATCTATCTATCTATCTATCTATCTATCTATCTATCTATCTATCTATCTATCTATCTATTTATCTATCTATCTATCTATCTATCTCGCTCTCCCGCTCTTTAAAAAAACCGTAAACAATGTGTAATAAACAATAATGTGTAAGAAATAAAAACAAACTTCAAGAACAAAACAATAACAATAAGCTTTGAATATAAACTATAAACTGTAAACAATGGACTTAAACGATAAACAATAATCAATAAACAATTAATAATAAAGTATAAACTAAAAACAACAATATTCAAGAACCTATAAATAAACAAGAGAAAATAAGTAACAATAAACAATTAACATTGACACTAAACGATAATCAATGAACAATAAAGAACATTACGCATTGAACAGTAAAGAATTAACAATAAGCAATTCGCAAAAAAACAAAAACAACAAATACCAAACTGCAATTAAAAATAAGCAGAAAACAGTGAACAAAAAATAGACACAATAAACAATAAGCAGTAAACTGTAAACGGTAACCAACAAAATGTAAGCAATAAATAATAACAATAATGAACAATAAACGATAATCATTAAGCTGTCAGCAATAAACAATAAGCAGTAATATATTTTTTAAATTTAAAAAACACCTATAAAAAATAAACAGTCAACGTGGGTGGTTGACGGGTGCACAGGTGTGTTTTCCTTCTTCTTTCCAACCAATCATCTGTCGTCCTGATCTCTCGTCATTCTTTTATTTGTACATTAGTCTCTAGCAACACCTCTAATCTTCGGCACCTATACAACATAATTCTGTAATAAGTATCGAGTAGAGATAACCATCAGCTCCATCGGGCGGTGGTTGGAGGCTGACAGACTACTGAGGGAGAAACATCACTGAAGTTTTTTTTTGTTTTTCATTTTATTTTTTTAGGGGGGGGGGGTTGCTGGAGGTAGAATCTATGCTCCGTGGAGTGGTTTCTTGTTGAAGCTCTAAGTGTTGATTCTCATTTATTTTTGAAAACGTTAATAATATTGCTGTTTCTGTTGTTGCTGTCATTGTTGTCACTGGCTTTTACTTTTTGTTATAAACATCTCGCTAAAACTAAATTAAACAGTAAACTCTAAACTGCACTCTAAATTCTTTATTGAAGCTCTAAGAATGTAAACGTTAATAATATTGTTGCTGCTGTTGTTGTTGTCACTGGCTTTTAGTTTTTGAGATAAACATCTTACTAAAACTAAATTAAACAGTAAACTCGAAACTGCACTCTAAATTCTATATTGAAACTCCAAATGTTGAGTCTTATTCCTTTTTGGAAACATTAATATTATTGTTGTTGTTGTTGTTGTCATTGACCTTTAGTTTTTGTGACAAATATCTTACTAAAAACTAAACTAAACAGTAAACTACCCCAAACTGCACTTTAAATTCTGTTTCAGGTTGTAATGCCAGAGCCGCCCAAGTCCCCATCTCAGATGTGCCTAGATTACAAGTACAGCAAATACATCAAGATGATGAGGGAGACAGAGTGGGGGCCGTCAGTGGGTGTTGGAAGTGAGTGTGTTTGAGGAGAGATGGTGGGAGTGGTAGAGTTCTTTTTCTTTTATTTGTACCTGTCTCTGTCTCTTTTTTTTCTCCCTTTTTTCTCTCCTTCTCTCTCTCTCTCTCTCTCTCTCTCTCAGAATCTCTCTCTCTCTCTCTCTCTCTCTCTCTCTCTCTCTCTCTCTCTCTCTCTCTCTCTCTCTCTCTCTCTCTGTATTTATATTTATATGCTAAACCAGCACCGAAAAGCTCTCGGCGTGAGAAGGGACCAAACTACA